CCTGTGTCCCTCCGCTGTCCCTGACCCTACACCTCCGTCTCACGTTTGGCTCGCCGTCCCTCCCGTGCTCGTCCCGTCTCTCCTGTCCTGCCCCACCCTATGTTGCTCCGTTCCCACTCGTCTCGTCCTCCCCTCCTCCCGTCCCCTCCTCCCTCGTCCCTTGCTGTTGCACCTCCTCCGTTCTCTGACTACCTCCGTGCGCTCGTCCCCTTGTCCCTCGGGTCCTTGCCTCTCTTGTTACCGACCCTGTTCCTGTCTCGCGCCTTGACGCGCTTGTCGCTGCTGTCGCTGACTTCGCCTCTACCCGCCGCCTTGACTACGCTACGCTCTGGTCTCTGACCCTGCCCGTCCTGTCCGTCGGGGTGCTCCTGCCCTTGGCAGTGACGTCTAGAGGACAGGCAGTACGAGCTTGCTTTCCTTTCCGAGGCGCTCCCCATCTCTGCTCCATGCTAGTCCCTGAGGGTGACCCAGACGCCTTCGACATCCCGACCCCTCGCACCTACGCTGAGGCCACTCGGGACCTTGGGCCTCTCAGTGGATAGCTGCCATGGAGCAGGAGATGGCATCTTGGAGGTCCACCGGCACTTACGTCGACGCAGTTCCCCCGCCTGGGGTGAACGTAGTCGATGGTCGGTGGCTCTTCAAGGTGAAGCGAGGAGAGCCGCCTGTCTTCAAGGCGCGCTACGTGGCCAGAGGTTTCAGTCAGCGCGAGGGGGTGGACTTCTTCCAGACCTTCGCCCCGACCCCGAAGATGACCACTCTTCGGGCGCTGCTACACGTAGCAGCACAGCGCGACTACGAGCTTCACTCCCTCGACTTCTCTACTGCCTTTCTTCAGGGCAGCCTACACGAGCAGGTCTACCTGCGCCGACCACAGGGCTTCACTGGTACCTTCCCCCTGGGACCCAGTGGCTTCTCAGGCGCCCGGTCTACGGCCTGCCCAGGCTCCCCGCGAGTGGCACGACACGCTGCGTGCCACGTTAGCAGACCTGCAGTTCTTTCCGTCGTCCTCTGACCCTCGCTTTTTGTGCGTCCGGCCAGACTCCGTTCTACATCCTTGTCTACGTAGACGACCTGGTCTTTGCTACTGCTGACAGGGACGCACTGGCCTCAGTGAAGGCCGAGCTGCTGAAGAGACACACCTGCACTGACCTTGGAGAGCTGCGTCGCTATCTTGGCCTGCAGATCTCTAGGGACGACAAGCAGCACGCACCATCACTCTGACACAGTCACACTTGGTGCGTCAGGTCCTTCAGAGGTTCGGCCTTCAGTTCTCCTCTGCACAGCCCACACCTCTACCCGTAGACCACGGGCTCTCGCTCCCGTTCCTGAGGAGCCAGTAGAGCCCAGCGGCCCCTACGCAGAGCTGGTGGGTTGCCTCATGTACCTGATGACTTGCACTCGCCCAGATCTCGCATACCCTCTCAGCATCCTGGCTCGCTTTGTGGCCACTGGCAGACACCGACCACAGCACTGGTCGGCCGCTAAGAGGGTTTTGCGATATCTAGCAAGTACATCGGCATGGGGTTAGTGCTAGGAGGACGCAGGCCAGTGGTCCTCACTGGGCACACAGACGCGTCTTGGGCAGACGACTCTGAGACGCTCAGGTCGTCGCAGGGCTACTGCTTTAGCCTTGGTTCGGGTGCTATCTCTTGGAGATCCACTCGCTCGTCGTCTGTTGCTCAGTCCAGCTGTGAGGCTGAGATCTACGCTGGTGCCATGGCGGCACAGGAGCTCCGCTGGCTGACCTTCTTGCTCACTTAGGTGAGCGGCCTAGCTCTGCCCCGGTCCTGTACGCTGACAACAGGGCCATGATCCTCCTGTGTCAGGAGCCTCGGCTTGAGGGCAGAGCGAAGCACATTCAGCTGCGGTACTTTCTCCTGCGCGAGCTACAGCAGCGCCGCCAGGCCCGCGTAGTTCACTTGGCCTCTGGTGCCAACACAGCTGATATCTTTACGAAGGCGCTTGCGCCTAAAGATCATCAGAGGCACTGTGTACAGCTGGGTCTAGTTCCTGTAGCCTCTCACTTGCTAGGACCTTGACCTTGTACTATTCTATATATGTCTGCATATGTACTCAGACTGGACTTGTGTCCTCTCCCAGTGGCTGGACTAGTAGTGTGTCCTGGTCTTGTTCTTGTCTTGTCTGTACTCCTTTTGACTGGTCTTTAGACCCTTGTCTCAGAGGCTGGACTAGTAGTGCCGCCCTGAGCTGCTTGTCAGAACCTGCCCCTATGCAGTCTAGGGGGTGTGTCAAACATGTTTATCTACAATGTTTGTAGACTGTATAGGGTCATCTCTTAGAGAGTACAACCCTTAGATATATGTCCTTGTACAATTCTTTCTAGTCAATTATTATTCAGTTTTCCTTTGAGAGCCTGGTCTGGGGTGGGTCGAAACATATCTAGTATGTTATTGTTGACAGTATAGGTTTGTGCCTTAGAGGGTACAACACTTGCCTACATTCTCATGTACTCTCATTCTGCATCATACTATCATTCTAACATGTACTCTCTATGAGCATGCACCTATCTAGCCTATAACAACATACCATGAACAGAAGTTAACAGATGGTGCACCTCAGATTACCATAGTTGCATGAAAATCCAACTTGCACAGGCTAGAGCCGGTAATCTAGTGCGGGCAGCACAGGAAAGAGCTTGGTGGAGTGAGCTTTAACTAACCATACATACATCCAAGGGACAACAGACAGACACTGCCACATCAACAAACCACAATCCTGGCCTAAGGCGGTGCATTTCAACGTGTCCCTGGTAGCCTTTTCTGCATCATTTTAGGCAGGGACCTTGGAGGCGATCTTCTCCTTGGACTTCTGCAGCTTGAGCACCTTCTTCACGATCTTCTGCTCCTCCACCAGGAACGCGCGGATGATTCTGAGAGAGAGAGAGAGAGGAAGAGAGAGAGAGAGAGAGAGAGAGAGAGAGAGAGAATACGGGAAAGAAGAGAGGGGGAAAGAAGAGAAAGGGGAAGAAGAGAGGTTGGAAAGGAAAGGGTTCGAACCGACACCCTCCTTAGGGGCTTCAGCACCTTCTTCACGATCTTCTGCTCCTCCACCAGGAACGCGCGGATGATTCTAACGGGGGAGAGAAGAGAGGGGGGTGATGACCAGAGGGGCAGGGGCAGGGGGAGCGAGAGCGGGAGCGGGAGCGGGATGGGGGGGGGGGAGGAGGGGGAGAGAGAGAAAGAGTGAGGTATTTTGGCGATGGAAGGGCGATCCTGATGTGCACCGCGGCTGGAGGGAGCAACGGATCCCTTGAACCCCCGCTTCGCTTCACCCCTCGTCGCCCGCCCTCACCCCGACTCGTCTCCCGAGCCAAGAGATCCTGCAGATCATACCACCCGCCCCGAGCATCACCTCCGTCCTCCCCTTACCTCTCGCGCAAGTAACCCCCGCTTTGACTTTAGCGCGGCATTCTCTCGCGCAATTCCCCTCCGCCCTACCTCTCGCGAACGCATTTCCCGCAGATGCGCCGCCGTAGATGCGCGTGACGCTCTTCTGCTTGCGCGACATCAGGTTGCGCGTGAGCTTGTGCGCGGGAGCGCGGGGACCTGCGCGGATGAGGGGCGGAGCGAGAAAGGGGAAGGAGGGAAAGGGAGGAACAAAATCGTCAAGAGTTACTGCGCCAGACTTGCGCGCGGCAAATGCACGCCAGAAACAGAAGGTAGGCATCTGCGCAGTGACAATGAGAGACGTTCGTTCGGCCTCGCCTGATTTGCTACTGGTGGCGATTAGGGAGAGAACACCAGGAAGTTTTGCGGGAGCTACTCCAGCCTGCTTGGAGTCTTAAACGGGGCAGGATGCGAGGATGCGTTTTGGGTGGACACAAAAGTAATAGCGATAGTGACTTACACCAGGCAGGATGCGCGGGCACTTGCCGCACTTGACGCCATTGGCTCTCTTGGCGATGTATTGAACGACGAGCTTGCCTCCTGCTCGGATAGCGAGTCACGGAAGACAATCCGCGGAACAACGACCAGCGCGGACAGGGAGAAAGCGGATCAAAAGGGATGTTGAGAGAGGGGATTAGGGGGGGATATCGATGGCGCTCAAGTCACTCGACGCAGACACGTAAATCGAGTCCCGGAAGAATCCGAAACCAGGGATCCGAAAAGAAAGCAGACCAGCCTGGCCAGCCGAACAACTGAGTTGTAGGGTTTCTACAAGTGTCCTTATAGCGAGTCAGCAAGACGCTGTTGGCGCACTCCTCGAACACTACGCGACGGCGAGTCTACAATACTAGACTCGAGTCCGAGAAACGACTCCACCCGTGCACACGTGCGGCGTAATTCGGGTTTCCGAAGGTGAGGGGAAGAGATTGGGATCGTGCCTGGGGTGCGGACGGTGCGGCGGAGGTTGGAGCGCGTGGCATAGGGGTGCCTGCGGCGGTATGTGAGGCGCTCGCCCATGGTGCTAGGGTTTCGTGCGTGCTACGCCGACGATGGCTGCCGCTGACGTGTCAAGAGGCTCCTACACCCGGCGTGGGTGAGGTAAAGAGAGACTAGGCGTAGGGAGAGACGCGAGGGAGAAAGAGGCAGGAGGAAAAGGGAGAGGGGATTTGAAGGGGAGGGCACGGGGGGAGTGCGCGGGGAAAATCGGTGGGACGCGGGAGCACAAAGAGGTGGGGGGGGGAGAGGCGAATGGAATCGGAAAAACGGCGAAGCGGGAAACGCGGAGGATGGGAAGCGGGGTGAGGAAAAGGGGAGGGTGGGGCAGAAGTTCCGGGTGAAGGGGGAGGTGAAGTTGGGGAAAATGAGTTGCCGAGCAGGCTTGTTGACGATCGTTCGATTAGGTCAAATATCTGAGGTATGACACCAATGTAACAAGTGTTTGCGAGGGAATCTAACTGAATTTCTAGAGCTGATCCGTAACTGCTAAATGCGGTGTACCAAAGTCTGACATCTGAGCAGTAGCGGAATTCGAAATCACACAAGAGTTTGTGGACCTTCCGGAGTTGGCTCCTTCCTGCTCGGTGAGCACGAGTGATTCTGCCTCCTAGCTCCCTATTCCCGTGAGCACGAGTGATTCTGTTCTGTACTCCAGTCAGTGACCAGTGATCAGTGATCAGGATCAGTGATCAGATAGATATTCCGCCATTTAATTCTCGACGTGTATGTTGTTCTGTGCCTCCTGCTAGCTCGCCGCTTCAGGGCAGTCTGCGAGTAGGAATGCCACCCGCGTCGCTATTTTCGCCCCGTGCGAAACGCCTGGTCCTGCTCGCAGAGTCATCGGCTTGACCTATTTTTCCCCAGTGCCTGTTCGAGCATTCGAACTCCTCCCCAGAAAAATCCCGAGCCCTTGTCGCTCTCGGTCTTCTTTCACTGTTCAAATTTCCCGAACGACGTCGCCAGGGTTCCTTCCAAATACCCGTCTCGGTCTTATTTTTCCTGGGGCTTAGCTCGATTCACGACACCAGTCCGACGCGACTATTCCGTGCGCCTCTAATTCCCCTCCCTTCGCCTCGACGCGTGTCGCTTTTGAGACGTCTCGGACAAGCCGCTTTGTCAGATGGCCAGCGTGGCAGCGGCGATCAACAGGGCGTCGTCGTCGAAAGTCGACGCGGCGCTCTGGTGGTCCCCACACGGCGCCTTGCTGGCGAGACTCGAGGCGATTGACAGCGGGGAAACGGACAGCGCTGCTGGTGATGATGGTGGTGGGGATGGAGGTCGCGACTTGGTACGTGTGATACAAACCGTGTGACAGTAGCATGTGTGATTCAAACGCGTACAGGCGTGCACGTTGGCAGGCGCATGACGAGCAAACGGTGCAAACGGTGCAAACGCAAGGTGTGACGCTACGCCAGGTGTGACGCACGTTGCAGGTGTGACGCTACGCCAGGCGGTGCAAACGCATGTGGTACCAGCGCGACGAAGACCGATCAACTCGTCTGGTTCCACTTCGCTAAGCGACTTATCCCGTGGATTCCAGATTCAGGGACCGTTTGCGTGTGACTTATTGCTGCTGCAGCTTAGCAGGACCAAATGTAACCCGGATTCTTTCCTGGGATCACGCCAACTTCACATCATCCATTCTCGAGCCATCTGTCCGTCTTTCTTTCCCTGGTCCGTCTCATGCAGGTCAGGAAGCCTATCAGAGCATCACACGTGGCTGCTGCATGGCTTTGGCGCGCTTCAAGCCTCCCAGCAGCCGGTCACGAGACGCCATAGGCGCTGCTCGCCTGGAAGTGGAGTAGGAGCAACAGCAGGCGCAGAGCAAGTGACTATCCCTGTGGTGGGACGGCTGAGGGAAGCTGCTGTGGCTGCAAGCGCTGTGCTAGTAAGTGGGACATGGGAGGCAGAGGGCTACTCTCCTACGTGCTGCCATGACGTGACTTACATCTGGTGCAGTTGCTTTGAGAGGGAAAATCGTGCTTTGCTTAAATCTAAGCAAACGTGACTGCTTATTGCTTTTCTTTCCAGGGCTTGGACGAAACGCAGGCGCACATTGTGGTGGATATGGCGGCAGGAGGAGGGGAGAGGCAGTTTCAATCGTCTCAAAGCTCTGTTCGTTCCTCTTGGTTTCGCAGGGCATGGATGAGATGCAGGCGTACCTTGTGGTGGGTAGGGCGGCAGGAGGGGAGAGGGCGTTTGAATTTGAAGCGACTGAAAAGTCTGTTCGCTGCTTTTTGCAGGGCTTGGACGAAATGCAGGCGTACTTTCTGGTGGATAGGGCGGCAGGAGGGGAGAGGGCAGTGGTGGGGGAAGCAGAGGGGAGGGCGAGGGGAAGGGAGCAGGGCTCGGAGTGGAGAAGAGGGGGAGGTTGGAGGGGAAGGCAGCGCAGCAGAGATTGGTGCAGGAGGTATGTGTGTGTGGTGAATGCATGCGGATGCCTGTATAGTCGCGGATGCACTCTTCTTGCTCGTTAGCATAGCATGTGTATGGCGTTTTTCCTGCGTGTGCCTTGCAAGTCATCCTTGCGCCCAGATGTCACTCAAATCTCCTCACGGTTCTCCCCTCCCCTCCTCCCGCCGGTGTGCCTGTAGGCTGCGGCATTGTATCGAGAGGAGAGGCAGAATCTGCTCAAGTGCGTACGGCTGCTGCTAGTGATGCAAGGTGCGGTGCTGTTATTATTCCAGTCAATAGGGGCTGCTACTGCAGCAGTCTATGCGCCGCCCACTAGCATGCTTTGTGGCATCATGGCATGGCGGTGTTGCGCCACTGCATGGTGTTATTGGATCACTGCATGGTGTTATTGGATCACTGCATGGTGTTATTGGATCACTGCATGGTGTTATTGGATCACTGCATGGTGTTATTGGATCACTGCGTGCTATAACACACCATGGCAGCTTCCCCCTTACCTTGCTCCAACTTCTCACTGCTCCCTTCCCTTTGAATCTCAGCTCACGCCTCCTCCCCCCTCGCGTGTTCCAATGAGGGGGGGGTGAGAGCACTGCTGGAGGACGGTCTCCTGTCAAATGCCAGATCTCAGCTCCCCCTCTCGTTCTCCATCTGTCCCCGCCCAATACCGCCCACCTCCCATCCCCGCCTACGCCCAGCTGACGCCTCCTCCCCCCACGCTTCTGCCATTGAGGGGGAGGTGAGAGCGCTGCTGGACGAGGGTCTCCTGTCAAACGCCATGGCTCAGCTCAGAGCGCTCCCACGATTTGAACCGCCCAAGGCGCTGGTGAGCAATTATCCTCCTTGGCTCTGGTAAGTGTTGAACCGGCCAGGGCTGTGGTAAGTGCTAGCATGCCTTGCTTGAAACCTTCCAGCTTATGCCATGACTCAGCTGAGAGACCCCCTTCAAGGTTTGAACCCCCAATGGTCTGGTAAGGATTCCCGCCAGCACAACCAGTGGCCTTGTGTCCTTCCTTCCCATGGCTTCCTGTGGTTTCCCTCTGATTGGACCATCTCCATGAAACCCTCTTCCTTTCACCTTATCATTTCTTTTGTCAGGATCGTGCAGGGGTGGCAGAGTGGGCCGAGGCATCCTCGTTAGAAGCCTGCTTGCTACTAGACATTCTCATCCTTATCGCCTCAAGTAATGGCTGCAGCGCCGCTGTCGTCCTCGATATAGTCACACTCGTCCAGGTGCCCTTTCTCTTTATACTCATAACGTCACCCTTTGTTTTACCGCATTAGCGTACTCCCTTCCATCAGTTCTTTCAATTCCCTTCTCTCCTCTTGTCATCGATCCCTTCCTTTCCTCCCCTCTCTCTTCCGCCACCCCTCTCCCTTTACCACATGCCAGGAGCTTTTCTTCGGCTTCCCTCCATCTGCACCGCTTTCCCCAGCTCCATACTCCATTTCTCCATCCTCCTCCTCCTCTTCCTCCTCCTCCTCTGCGTCTCTCGCCTCCCTAGCCATCAGTGCTGCGTCTGAGTCACTCCTTTCCACCGCACTGCACCGCGCTGTGCTCCTGCTGATTGCAGCGGTCAACGTGGAAGGGGCGGTTGTGGCTCTGGCGCAAGGAGAGAAGTTCAGGTGCGCTTTGGTGCAAGGAGGAATTATGCTATTCTTAGGGAGCTTGGTAGACTCTGGCAATATTGGTTTTGGATGTCACGTACACTAATGTACATTAAATACACTGTTGTACTCACCTGGAGTTTTTGTTTTGCTGTATACAATGCCATGAGCTGTGGGCCTTACACCCTTCCTCTCGCCCTCCCCGTCCGCCCTTCCCCCCTTCCCCTTAACAGCGCGTCCTCTCACCCGCTCTCTTCCCCCTCTGCTCTGACTGACGTGGATCAGCGTCTCTCCGCCTGGCTCTCATGCATCCTCTCTGCTGCGGCTGCTAGGGGTGGCGGGGCGGGTGAGGGGGGCGGGAGAGAAGCGGGTGGAGGGGGAATGGGGATGATGGCGGAGGAGGGACTCGAGGAGGAGCTGGGTGGAGGAGGGGAGATAGGCTTGGCTGGCGTCATGCCTGTGGTTGGGACTGGGAGCAGTGCTGCTGCAGGAGCAGGGTTGGACGTGTCCCCTGTGCTGCTCGCCTGGGGTCTCTTCCGCTTGCTGCTGCAGTGGCTGCCAGATTCCTCGCAGCTACCGGTATGGTGCAAGGCAGGCGGGCAGCCTTTTCTTTCATCAAAGTCATCCGCATGCGCTCTTCATTGTTGGTGCTGCTGTCAGCTTACCCTCTCCTCTCGTCTTCTCCCCTCTCTCACCCTCTTGTGTGCAGTCGCCTGCACTGAACCCGTCTGTCTGCGTGCAAGCAGCCTACTCAGCGGGTGCTCTGGATAGGATCCTCTCCTCCCTCCTCTCCTCCTCACTCCCCTCCCACCCCTCCAACGACCCTGTGAGCCTCCCCACTCGTTTGCCCTCACCTCCTTGCATCCTTCGCTCTCTTCTCCTTTTCCTCCTCCCTGTTGATGCTCTTCTACTGCTGTCGAGCGCTCTGAGGCAGCTTAAATAGACGGAGTCCTTGCGAGTAGTATTTTTGCCTGCTGCCTGGGAGCTCCCGCTTGAACATTTGAGCTCCTGGACGAGGGCCTCTTGTCGAAAGTAGTGTTTGCCTCGCGTTGCCGCACCTGCCTGGTGAGAGCGCAGGTGATGCAGGGGGTGGTGAAGAGATGCGTCAAGGGAGTTACCACAGCCTACCTCACAGCGTTTGATATTTCCGATCAGGTCTGTAATATCTGGGCAATAGTTTATTATATTTATAAGTGTGTATAACTATCAGCTTTTTGCCCTATTTTTTTCTCGACCGTGTAGTTTCCCGCACATTCCTTCCACTTGTCGCCTCTTCCGCATTCTCCCTTTCCGCTTCCCCTGCTTGTGTTTCCTATGAAACCTGCCAATAATGATTCACCTTATCTTACCCTCATTACAGAGAGGCACTCGGCTATATGCCCTCCTTCTGGAGATCATCTGCCGTACCTTCTCAGAGCAGGTCAGCGCGTTGTCACCGTGTGTTACCATATGCCATCACATGTCACCGCTTTTCACTACATCTCACCACATCTTGCCGCATCTGACCGCATTCCATATCGGCTTTTCTTCTCGTGAACCTTCTTCCAACATGCCTCCCCTATCCCATACCCCCTTTCTCCACTTCCAAAGAGGTCCTTACACTCTCTGTTTCACCCCATCCGCCTCTACTGTAGAAATCTCTATGCACTGATTTTTGGGACGCCTGTGCGTTGCATCCCCCTCTGACGCCTCCATGCGCTCTTGCCTCGCTGCCACCACAAGGAATATTCCCCTCGTTACTCCCACCTACAACCTCTTCCCTTAACCCCTTCTTCAACCCACCTCTGAGTCCTGACCTTCACACACACCCACTACAGGAGTCCCTGTGCACTGACTTCTGGGATGCCTCCGCTTCCCCCTCTGACGCTCCCATCCGCTCTCTGCTCGCTGCCACCCGAAGGGACTTTCCCGCCCGCCCCCTCCCCCTCCTGCGCCTCCTCTCAGCTCTCTCCCATGGCGCCTGGCCCGCCCAATGCACGTGAGTCATCCTCTCGTGCGCCTCTCTAGTGCTTGCAAGGACTACCCGCCCGTTCACGTGAGTCCCACCTTTACCTTGCGCCACGCGTGTCATTATCCACCTGCCCCCTCCCCTTCCTGCGCCTCTTCTCTTCTCTCTCTCCCCCACAGCGCCTGGGCCGCCCTATGCACATGCACTCGAGTCCCTCCTCTTACCTTGGTCACTTGTGTTTCCATCCGCCCAGCTTTTAGCTTCTCAAGAGTCGAGAGCACTTTGGGAGCGCCTCTCCTGCTGCCCCTGCCGCCCTCCTCCTCCTCCCTCCCTCTCTGCACCTGGTGCTTTGAGGCACCTCAGGAAACGACCTCCCACACCACCACCCCCCTCCCCTTCCCCCCCACCCCCAGCTTTGAGTTTCTCGAGAGCACCATGGGAGCGGCTCTGCTGCTGCCCCTGCCGCCCGCCTACGCCGCCCTCTCCTCCTTCTCCGCGCCCCAAGCCCTTCCCGTGCCGCGCTCTGGGGGGCTGCTGGTGCCCGCAGGGACACGGGGGGAGGTGGTGGAGGGGGGAGCCGGGGAAGGAGATGGACCGGCTGTCGTGCATTTTGAGGTGAGCGATGGATGGAACCAACTCGTGCACAGACTTCTCCTTCTCTTGCAGTTCCCCTTGAGCACACTGCTCATCCTTCTCTTCCGCCTCGTGGTGCCCTGCTTCCCCCCTCCGCCCACCCACCCCCCCTTCCTCCCCCCCCTACACCAGGTCCCCCTGAGCGCACTGCTGATCCTTTTCTTCCGCCTCGTTCACCTCGCACAGCAGCAGGATGCGTCCTCTGCCACGTGGCAGACTGCCATTGGCAGTGCTGATGTCAGCACCAGCGCAGGGCTGGGAGGAGAGGAAGCGGCGGAGGAGCTGGCAGTGGGGCTGTCGCTGCTGTCGCACATCCTGACAGCCAATCAGGTGCGTTTCTTAGTCCTTCTGAATACTTGCCGTTTTCTCAGTTGCCCGTTTAGTTCACTTGAGATAGCTGTCAGCCAGTAGGGCTCTCACTTCTCTCCCACATCGTGACAGCCAATCAGGTGCGTAACGTAGCCCTTTCAAAAGCTTTTCAAGTCCTGATCCGCAGCCACAACCATCTCGCACTGATTCCTCCCTTCCAACAACGCCCCTCTTCTCTCCCCCCTCTCGCTGGCATAATTCGTCCCGTCTATACCCTCCCCCTCTCGCCCTTCCCATCCTCTCCCATCTCTCCCCCACCAGGCGTGTGTGAGGGCGCTCCTCCATCTCCACTCCTCGCCACTTGTTGCAGCTGCAACGGCCAATGGGCTGCTGCCACATGGCATGACGTAGGGCTACCACAACCCGGTGTACAGTATGAGTAGTTACCGCAAGCGTTTGCTCAGAATGATGACCATTCAGTCTCTCACCCCCTGCCCCTTCTTCCCCCCATGCTCGCTCCCTTTCTGTTGGCTTCGCTGTTCTCGTCTCGTTCCTTGCTCTCCTTTTTTTTCTTTGCTCAAACCAAATCTCACCTTTTCCACCCCTCCCCATTGCACCCCGTTCTTTTTTGCCCCGCCTCCTCCCTCCCTCCCTGCCTCTCCTCAGAGTGGACCCCACTGCGCTTATCACAGCAATACTGGACGGTCTCCTATCCTCTCCTGCTCTCTCCTCCGCCTCCTCCTCCTCCTCCTCCCCCTTCCCCCCCATCGCCCACACACCATCTGCAGCAGCTACTCTGACTGCTGCTGCCTGCTGCCTCCGCATGCTTGCTGCCTTTGCTCTCCTGTCAGTGCCCATGTCATTCCTCCCACCCAGTGTGTGGCAATATTCCTTTGCGTTTTATGCTTTCACTGCCTTTGCCGGTTCTGCTCTATGCCTTGTGCTCTCTACCTCCTCGCTGCCTCTACCCCCTCGCTGCCTCTCTACCTCCTCGCTGCCCTTTCCCCTCCGCTTGATGCTTCCACCGCAATCCTCTTGGTGCTACCAAATGCTTGTCGGTCAGTGCTACCGGTGCAGCAAAATTCGTCCCATGCCATTCTCAAGTGCGTCTCTCCCCTGCCTCGCTATTCCCCTCCTTCCCCTCCAGCCATCCTGTCCGTGTTGCCGCTGCTCTCTCCTCCTCCGTCTTCTCGCCTTCGCCCCTCTCCTCAGACCATCAATCGCCCACCCTTTGCCTGTGCGTCGTACCTGATTGTGGTTGTTTCTGCTGCAATAAACTATGGACTGGTGATTCGACCTGATTGTTGTTGTTCTTTGAGTGGGGAACGCCTGGCCTTTTGTCTCAGCCTCAGAACTCCATGCCATTTCGTTTTCAACGGCTTTGGACCTTCGATTCACTTCAAACACACTGTTACTCGTATCTTCTCTGCATCTATGCCATTATCATTCCTCCAACAACGTTCCTCGTCATGTCCGTCTTCCTTCTCTCCCCCGTACCCCTCCTTTCATGTCTCTCCCCCCCTCGCCTTCCCCTCCCCTTCCACTTATTTTCCAGCCAATCAGGGCATGCCACGAGTCCTCTCCATGTGCTGTGTTCTCATTTAGAGCAACCCCAGGGACGCTTCCCCTTCACTCTTGCAGGTATCCCTCCCCTTCCACACTAGCTGGTAACCTTCCTGTGTCCTTTCCAGCACCGGTTTCCATCATCCATCTCGTCTTCCATCTTCCGTCTTCCAACTCGTCTTCCATCTTCCGTCTTCCGTCTTCCAACTCGTTTTCCGTCTTCCGTCTTCCGTCTTCCAACTCGTCGTCCGTCTTCCAACTCGTCTTCTGTCTGCCGTCTTCCAACTCGTCTTCCGTCTTCTAACTCGTCTTCCATCTTCCGTCTTCCAACTCGTCTTCCATCTTCCGTCTTCCAACTCGTTTTCCGTCTTCCGTCTTCCAACTCGTCTTCCGTCTTCCGTCTTCCGTCTTCCAACTCGTCGTCCGTCTTCCAACTCGTCTTCTGTCTGCCGTCTTCCAACTCGTCTTCCGTCTTCTAACTCGTCTTCCATCTTCCGTCTTCCAACTCGTCTTCCATCTTCCGTCTTCCAACTCGTCTTCTGTGCTATGCACCCTCCCGAAACCCCCTACCCCCCTTCACCCTCCCAACCCCCCCCAACCCCCCCAATCCCCTTCACCCTCCCAAACCCCCCCAACCCCCTTCACCCTCCTAAACCCCCCCAACCCCCTTCACCCTCGCAAACCCCCACCCCCCTTCACCCTCCCAAACCCCCCCCCCCCCTTCACCCTCCCAAACCCCCACCCCCCTTCACCCTCCCAAACCCCCACCCCCCTTCACCCTCCCAAACCCCCACCCCCTTCACCCTCCCAAACCCCACCCCCTTCACCCTCCCAAACCCCCACCCCCTTCACCCTCCCAAACCCCCACCCCCCTTCACCCTCCCAAACCCCCACCCCCTTCACCCTCCCAAACCCCCACCCCCCTTCACCCTCCCAAACCCCCACCCCCCTTCACCCTCCCAAACCCCCAACCCCCTTCACCCTCCCAAACCCCTACCCCCCTTCACCCTCCCAAACCCCCACCCCCTTCACCCTCCCAAACCCCACCCCCCTTCACCCTCCCAAACCCCCACCCCCTTCACCCTCCCAAACCCCCACCCCCTTCACCCTCCCAAACCCCCACCCCCCTTCACCCTCCCAAACCCCCACCCCCCTTCACCCTCCCAAACCCCCACCCCCCTTCACCCTCCCAAACCCCCACCCCCCTTCACCCTCCCAAACCCCCACCCCCCTTCACCCTCCCAAACCCCCACCCCCTTCACCCTCCCAAACCCCCACCCCCCTTCACCCTCCCAAACCCCCACCCCCTTCACCCTCCCAAACCCCCACCCCCTTCACCCTCCCAAACCCCCACCCCCCTTCACCCTCCCAAACCCCCACCCCCTTCACCCTCCCAAACCCCCACCCCCTTCACCCTCCCAAACCCCCACCCCCCCCCCCCCCCCCCCCTTCACCCTCCCAAACCCCCACCCCCCTTCACCCTCCCAAACCCCCACCCCCTTCACCCTCCCAAACCCCCACCCCCCTTCACCCTCCCAAACCCCCACCCCCCTTCACCCTCCCCAACCCCCCCCCCCCCCCAAACCCCCACCCCCTTCACCCTCCCAAACCCCCACCCCCCTTCACCCTCCCAAACCCCCAACCCCCTTCACCCTCCCAAACCCCCACCCCCCTTCACCCTCCCAAACCCCCACCCCCCTTCACCCTCCCAAACCCCCACCCCTTCACCCTCCCAAACCCCCACCCCTTCACCCTCCCAAACCCCCACCCCCCTTCACCCTCCCAAACCCCCACCCCCCTTCACCCTCCCAAACCCCCACCCCCCTTCACCCTCCCAAACCCCCACCCCCCTTCACCCTCCCAAACCCCCACCCCCTTCACCCTCCCAAACCCCCACCCCCCTTCACCCTCCCAAACCCCCACCCCCCTTCACCCTCCCAAACCCCCACCCCCCTTCACCCTCCCAAACCCCCACCCCCTTCACCCTCCCAAACCCCCACCCCCTTCACCCTCCCAAACCCCCACCCCCCTTCACCCTCCCAAACCCCCACCCCCCTTCACCCTCCCAAACCCCCACCCCACGTCATCCTCCCAAACCCCCACCCCCCTTCACCCTCCCAAACCCCCACCCCCCTTCACCCTCCCAAACCCCACCCCCCTTCACCCTCCCAAACCCCCACCCCCCTTCACCCTTCCAAGCCCCCCCCCCTTCTCCCCGTTTGTTCAGCCCTACTCGTCTTCCATCTCTTCCATCTCTTCCATCTCTTCCATCTCTTCCATCTTGTCCTTCTTCACCCCGTGTGTTCAGCCCTAGACCTGGCAGCAGCTCTGGTCAAGCGGGGAGTGACGGGAGGGCCGGTGCCGGATCTGCTGAGCTTCGCAGTGATGGATGTGATGCCGGGGTATGGGGGCTGGCGCATGGCGGATGGCAGGGAGAGGTGGCACATGGCTGAGAAGGTGGGTGTGTGTGTGGGTGAGAAGGCACGTCGTACACTGTGTACCACGTGGGATGTGAGCAGTGAGCTTTGCAGTGGTGGATTGGAATTGAGGGGAGGGGGGGGGGAGGGGGAAGGGGGTTGGCGCATGGCGGATGGGGGGGAGAGGTGGCAGTTGGCCGAGAGGGTGGGTCTGGATATGGATAAGGAGTATGGGGTATGGGGTTTGGGGCATGGCGCATGGCAGGGAGCGGTGGCACATGGCTGATAAGGTGGGTCTGGGTATGGATGAGGAGGCACATGTGGTTGAGCTGAGAGAGTATGCATGCTTCGCAGTGATGGCACCTCCTACCTGTTTTTCTGTCTTCTCCTTCATTTCAATCATCTACATGTTTCGTCCCACACCATCATCCCCATCCCACACAGCCCCTCCCTCCATCTATCTCTCTACCCACCTGTCATCCTCATACCTTCACCCCCTCTCCTCCCCCACTCACTGTTCCCTATCTTCCCCCCTCCAGCTCGCCCTCCTCCTCTCCCTCACTCTCTCCCTCGCGCCCTGGGCCTCCTCCTCTCTCTCTCGCTCCAGAAACGCCCTTCTTGAGGGCGACAGGGGGGTTGGTGACTGGGAGGAGGAGGGGGAGGAGGATGAGGGGGAGGAAGTGCGTGGGGAGCACATGGAAGGCGAGGAATGGCAGGAGAGTGGGGCGTATAAGAGAAGCAGAGTCGCAGCCGGAATGTGGAGCAGCAGCAGCAGCAGCAGTAGCAGCGGTGGCAGCAGCGGCGGTGGCAATGGGTTCAGCTACTCCCTCTCCTCCTCCTCGCCCCCCTCGCCCTCCTCTGCCTCTGCGCTAGCTGCCAGGGTGCTCCACCTGCTTCTCTCAGACGCCCGCATATCCACCGCACTGCTGGCGCCCCTGCAGTCGGCCCTGCTTGTGCTGCCAGGGAGGGGCGCTCAGGGGGGGTCAGAGGAGTCGGCCCTTCAACGCACTCTTTCTCTGCTCACCCTCTGCATTCGCCTCAAGCCCTTCAGCCAAGCAACTGCAAACTCTGTGAGCCAGCCCCACACCTGTTTACCACCTATCCCCGTCTTTCCCCCCTGTCTTTCCTCCATCAGCAACCATCACTCTTTGTCTCTTCTCCTCTCCCCTCTTCCTGCGTTTTCTTTCATCCCCCCTCTCTCTCTCCCCTGCAGCCGCTCTCGCCCTTGGAGTCGCTCCTCCTCTCCTCCTCTGCCCGCCTCCCGCCTCATCTCATGCCGTTCACCCCATCAGCATCATCGCTAGAACCCGCAGCAAGTGCAGGCGCTGCTTTACCAGCAGGAGAGGCGGTGGGGTGTGATTCGGTTCCTCTGGTGACGGCGCTTGCTGCCCTGACAGGCTCCAGCCACTCACAGGTGAGGCCGCCGTTCCCTGCTGTTCCTCTCCCTCCCTCACTCTGGCATCCTGTGATTGCCCTGTAACTCAGATTCCCATAAACCTCTCTCTCGTCTACAGTGATATTATGTCCTTGTCTTCTGTTTTTCTGTTCGTCTGTTCTTCTCCATCCATGCAGGCCCTACGCCGTGTCTCTTTCTTGCCAATACACTCTCTGCGCCATCAGACCGCATCTCCTCATCCTCCCTTGCACTACAAACCCCCCTGCCTCCCCCTTCCCTTTTCCCCCCTCCTCCCTCTGCGTCTCTCCATCCGTGCAGGACCTACGCCGCGTCTCTCTCACCTTCCAGCGCACTCTCTGTGCCATCATCCTGCGCATCAGACCGCACCTCCTCATCCTCTCCTCCTTCTTCTCCCAACCTGGCGTCAAACCCATTGTGAGCTCTGTGTGCTTTTTAAGGTGCTTTTTAAGGTGCCTGTTAACCCCCCCTGCTGGTTCCCTGTGCCCCTCTCTGCGTCTTTGTCGCTCCAGCTCAGCTCTCTCAGCCTTTTCTGCCTTTGTTTCCTTTCCGCTTCTTGCCTTTTCCACACTCATTCCACTCCTCTGAACGCCCCTGTCTATATACCCCCCCCCGCCACCCCCCTTCGCTCTCCCCCCCCATCTCTCCCCCCCCATCTCTCCCCCCCCATCTCTCCCCCCCCATCTCTTCCCCCCCATCTCTCCCCCCCTCCCGGCCTCTCTCTACAACCGGAATTCTCCTTCCCTATGCAGCTTCACAGCCTTCAGATCTCTGTGGATCGCATCCTGGCCATTGAACTGGATCGCATCACTGCGTCCGCACCGTCGAAATCATCCCCTTCGCCATCACCCTCATCCTCGTCTGGGCTCTTTGTTCCGATGCTTCAGCTGCTGATTCAAACCGCACACTCTCAAGTAAGCAACACTTTTAAGAAAGAGTTCTGACAGGTAGCAGCACAGTTGAGAAACACCCATATGGCTTAGCTCACATTACCTTCCTTTCCTCTTCTCCCACCTTTCCTTCCTCCCTCCCCCCTCCCTCCCCTCCCCCTCTCCTCCCCTCCCTCCCCAAACGCCCCCCCCCTCCAACCCCACTCAATCGCCCCTGCAGCCCGATTATCTTTACCAGCTTCTTCTTGCCGACCCCCCCGCTGCAAGCACCAGCAGCAGCAGCAGCAGCAGTGCGGACAAATCGCCCCCAGCAGCATCAGCAGCACCAGCTGGCAGCGCAAGTAAGGCGGGTGCGCTGGGGGCTCAAGGCACTGCCAACATGGGCAGGCTTCTGGCACTCGTCTCTGCAGGACCTTCCCTCATTTCCTCGTGAGTTCTTCCCCATTCGCTTCCTTTGTTGACTTGTGCTGGTGAGTCCCCCCCCTTTCCCTGTGCCGTCTCTCGCACCCTCTTGAAGGGGGGACACTCTAGACCGGTAGGCATTCTTGAGCATTGGGCACTTTTCCTGTCGTATTTTCCCCGTCGCGGTTTCCGAGTGGTTTTCCGCCACCCTGAGTGGTTTCCCAGTGGCACTCCACTCATCTCTGCGTGCTCTTGAGGTGATTTTTGAGTCGACTCAAGAATCACTCCTCTCATGCTCTCCCACCAATTCGTGTGCCCTCTCGCTCCTTCCCCAGCCATCCCATGCAGGTGACGCTCCTCCTGCGCCTCCTCTGCTCCATCTGGCACTCCCCCTCTCCTCCCCTCCTCCCTCTCATCCTCCACCTTCGCTCCAACCCTTCCCTCTGGACCTTCCTCTCCTCCATCCTCCACTCTTCCCCCTCCTCCTCTCTCTACTCCCCCTCCTCCTCCTCCCTCTCGTCGCCATCCTCTGCTGACGTCGAATATTCCCCTGCTGAGCTGGCGCGAGCTGGCTGGCGCTGGCGCTGCCATGCAGCCGCCCTGCGCCTCGTCTCTCTCGACCTCTTCCTCGAGAAGAAGCTTCCAGGAAGCTGCTCAGTAAAAAGAGCAGGGGAGGCAGGAGCAGCACCAGTGGCAGGGGCACGGAAAATACTGCTTGAGAAGATACCTGGAAGTCTGGGGGTTGGGAGTGGGGGAGGGAGGAAGGGGGGAGAGGGAATGGGGTTGGTGGGTGAGCTAGTGGGAGTGGTGGAGAGCGGCGGGAGGCAGTGGGGGGAGATGTGGCAGGCGTGGAGCAGTGGACAGGTGAGGACCCCCTTCTTCCTCTGAACCTCATCTCACTCATGCTCATCTTCTCTCCCCTCCCCCCTCTTGCCTTCAACGGGCATATATAACTGAGAACCCCTCATTCTCCTCCGCATATCCCCCCGCCTTCAGACATGCTGCCACATAGACTGCTCTTTGTTGTCACACCTGCGAATACACACAGTTTTCCCCTGCTCTTTGTTGTCACACACACACACCACCCGTCCTCCCTCCCAATCTCGTGCCAGCTGGCATGCAAGCTGCTGGCGGCTCTGCTCATGTGGCGGGTGTCGGTTGGTGACGTGGAGGGGATGAGCCTGCGGTTACTGGAGCAGATCAATGCCCTCTCCTTCCAGGTACTACCCTCTTTCAGCTCAGCTTTCCTGTGCGCATCTCCTTCTTAAAGCCCTGCTCTTTCTCTCTCAACCGCATCCCGCTCATCATCTCCCTCTCCTCCCCCCATGCTCGTTCTCTCGCCCCTCCCTGCTGTCGTTCTCCCCTCATGCCACGTGACTGTCACTGTGACCCCCGTCACCTTCCTCGTCCCGCTTTCCTCTACTCTCCCCATCCCCTCTCCACTTCCAGTTTTGAGGCGCCTCAAAACTTTCCTCTGCTGTCCTATCCCCTCTCCACTTCCCCAACCTCTCCGCACCCCCCGCCCCCTTCCCCCCCCCTGCTTGCAGTTCTTCTCACACCCACTCATGCCCCAGTTGCAGCATCAGCTCACCTCTCAGTCCCACGAACAATCCCCCTCTCGAGCAAATCAGTTTGCCTTACAATCGAATCACTTCTCCCCTCACCACGACCCCAACTCCTCTGTCTGGAAACCTGCTCTGCTCGCCAGCCTCTGCTCCTCCCTCTCCTCTCAACTCCCCTCCTCTCTCTCCTCCCTCCTCCCTTGCACCTCAATCTCCTCACTCTCATCGCCTTCCTCGCTCTCCTTCCCTCTCTCCTCCTCCTCTCTCGCCTTGGCGGAACGCTGCCTCGACTCAGTGGAAGCTGCCGAGAAGGTTCTGCAGGCTCTTGCTGACTCAGCAGGAGCGGAGGGAGGGATAGAGGGAGCGTGGAGAGGGGAGGTGCTGGAGGGGGCGAGAGAGGCGAGAGGACCGAGAGCAGACGTTTTAGGAAAAGGGGAGGGAGAAGGAGCAGCAGCAGGAGGGGAAGCAGGGGGACCAGAAGCAAGGATAGAGCGAGTGGTGAGTATAGCTGGCAGCATGACTACCCTCTTCTTCCCCCACAACCTCCTCACCTCTGCTGGTCTCCAAAGCTGGGGCAGCCACTGCGGCACCAGCAGCAGCAGCAGCGGCGGTGGCGGCGGCGGCGGCGGTGGCAGTAACAGTAAGGCGTGTGTTGCAGTGGTGGCAGCAGCAGTGGAGGCATGTGCGGTGGCGGATGGAGTGCTGTGGCAAGCAGGGGGGCTGCTACGAGCAGCAAGAGCAGCGGGGGAGATGCTGGCAGTCAGCACCATGGGGGTCTCTGAAGGGGCAGAGTGGTCTCAAGGCAGTATGGTGGGTAGGGAGGGTGCATGGGCGTTGCAGAGCGGTGAAGATGGTTCGGCTGCGGTTGAGGCCTCATTTCTGGAGAGCACCATCGGCTCTCTCTCCTCCTCACTCCTCCTCGCCTGCTCATCCATCCTCCCCCTCCCGCCCTCATCGCCCTCCGCCCTTCCTCTCCCCTCGCCAGCCGCCTATCTCTTCTCCTCCTCCCGCCTCCTCCTCCTCTTGATTCGCCGCTGGACCGACCACAAGAAGCAGGAAACTGGGGGGAAGCTTCCAGGCCAGAGCCAACGGATTCAGGAGAGTGAACAGGGGAAGACTGGAAAGTCTCTCATCGACACTGCTTCTTGTGCCGCGAACCTTGTGAGGAAGCTCATGGAAGCTTCCCGGAAGCTGATGGATGCTGAGCTGTCAGAGCTGGTGGGGCCCTGGCCTGCTGTGTCAACACTTGGCAGCCTCCTATTGGTCCTGCAGCTGATCCACGTCATGCTGACGTCAGAGAAGAGGAGGAGTGAGTCAGCAGACGCTTCCGCCACGCCCGCCACCTTATCCCTGCTTCAGGACAAAGTAGCTGATGTCACGGTGGTTCTTTCCGAGAACCTTCCTGTGCTCCTCCAAGCAGCATCTATGGGCGCGCAAGCAGACACGCACTCACCTGTAAAAGCACCAGACGCTTCCAGGAACCTTCCGATGCAAGCGTTAGCAGTGGCGGAGATGGCCCTTCGGTGCTTCCTTTCCCCGCTCACCTGGCGCCCTCTGGTGTCTGCGCATCTCGCCCTCCCCTCCCTCCTCTCCGCCACTCTCCAGTACCTCCCTCCCCCCTCTCACTCCTCTCCCCCCTCCCACTCCTCTCACTCCTCTCTCTCCTCCCAGTCCTCACGCTTCTCTCGCTCTGCCTCTGCCCGTGCCGTGCTCAGTCTCTGCCTCACCCTTGCATCCACGCGCGAGGGCGCAGATCTCCTCCTGGCCGTTGGATTCCTGCGCCACGTCAGCGCCATCACCAACGGCTTGCCACCTCATGCCCACCTCAGCGTCGCCCCTTTCCAAGAAGCTTCCGCTGCCTTTGGTGGGCTCTATGCTGCTGACAGACGCAGTGTACATTTTACCGCAGCAGTGGCAGCGGCAGCGGCAGTAGCAGTGGCAGCAGCGCCAGGGGGGTTGGTAGGGAGGGGAGCAGGGGCAGCAGGGGTATGGGGAGGGGAGGGTGTGAGTGGGGGAGGGGGGGACATGGGGCATGAGGAGGAAAGTGCTTCCGTCTGTGACGCTTGGGAGCTCTGGTCCCTGGCTCTCTCTGTTGCTACCTGCATGTTTCGGGTCCTCCTCCCTCCTCCTTTGCTTTCCGATTCCCTCGCCCTCTCTCCCCCCTCGCTTCCTTTCTCACTCTCCTCCTCCCCCGCCTCCTCCTCTCTCTCATCCACTGCTGCCCGTCTAGCCCTCGACTTCCTCTCCCTCCAACTACCCTCTCTCTTGGCCGCCCTCTCCTCCCCTCTCCATCCCTCTCGCTCTCTCCCCCTCCTCTCAGACCCCACCCCCTCCTCCTCCCCCCTCTTCCCCAATCCCTCCTCCCTCCTCTTCTCCCAATCAACACTATCATCCACCCTCCAAACCAGAAAGCGCCATCAGCTAATCACAAGCCTTCCCGCCCTCCGCTCCACCAATCGCGTTCTCTCCCTCATCTGCCAAACTTCCCAGCTACACCCCTCTCCCTCCCCCTCCTCCTACCGTCCCCACTCCCCGCCTCTCTCCACTGACCTCTCCGCCTCCTGCTCTCTCCTCCTCGCATTCATAGCACGAGAGGGGCTGGCTCGACCGGTGGGGGGTGCGAGCAGCATAGCATGTCACGTGAGTAGCAGGGAGGAGGCAGCAGCCCACGCAAGGCCGGCCACTGTGGGATGCCATAAGGGGTGGTTTGCCGTCACGGCTAGAGGCACCGCCGCTGCTGCTGCTGCTGCTGCTCGCCGTAACCCCTCTAATACTGCTTCTGCTGCTGCCTGTACTGCTGGTGCTGCTGGTGGCGATTCTGGTGGTGCTGCCGGTGGTGCTGGTGCTGCTGGTGGTGGTGGTACTGCTAATGGTGCCTCTCCTACAGGCGCTGGCTCTAGCACCGCTGCAGGTACTGGAACCTCCGGCGCTCACTCTCTGTCTTTAGCACAACCAGCAGCAGCTGCAGGGGGGGCAGGAGGAGCAGCAGCAGCAGGCACAGCCGCTGCAACCGGGTCCTCCCCTGCTGCCCCTGCTCTCTTTCCCCCGTCCCCTACTCTCACTGGCAAGGGTGTCAGCCCCACCGGTCAGCCCGAGGGAATTAAATCCGGCACCCTTAAAGTTGCATCCACCTCCCCAGCCACCCCCCAGTCCCCCCTTACAAGCACGCCTGGTGCCACAGGCACAGGAATGGTGGGAGGTTCGGGCCTCTGGGGTGGGAAGGGGCAGCAGGGACAGGCTGGGTACGGAGCAGATTCGGCTGGCCAGAACAAGCCTGGGGATTCGGCAGCAGGAGGCAAGTTGGGGCTGGGGCTTGGAGACGGGAAGGGGGTAGTGGGCAGCGTCCGTCGTCTGCATTCAGAGTACACGGATACTGTAGCAGTTGAAGTGTACTCCCTGGCTCTGCACTCCCTGCACTTCCTCACTGCGCTCCTGCGAAGATATTTCCCCTCAGCTGTTGACATGGCAGGGGGATGTGCTGACGTGGCAGGGATGCAGCTGTGGCCGCAGGGGGGATTGGGAGGAGTGGAGGTGGGAGAGGGAGGGTGGATGGGGGGAGGAGGAGGAGGAGCGGGGGGGATGGGAGTTCTGGGCGTGGGGCAGTGGGGGGTAGCAGGAGGGGGGATGGGAGGGGTGATGGCGGGAGTGATTGGGGGGGCAGCATCAGCGGTGGTGGTCATGGGGGGTGCTGCCCCTGTGCTGCCCACACCAGAGGTGCTGCACGGTCTAGAGGTGAGCTGCTGTCTGGGTAGCATGTGTTACCACGCAGGGACGGAGGGTTACCTCCTTTGATATTTCTCTTCTGCTTTCAACCGTTTCCCCTTTTTCTTGCCCCTGCTTTTGGAAGCTGCTTTTTATTTCGTTTTGTTCTGTTTCGTTTCGTTTCTTGTCTCCGGATATCTTTATTCGTTTTCTATCCCTCTTCTTCTCCTCCTTACATGTGGATGCGATAGGGGTCATCCTTCTGGCATCCCCAGACCACTCCTCGATTCCCCTTCTACCTCTAGCTCACTTCCACCTCGTCCCTTCTCCCTTCCTCTTCTCTCTCCCTCTCCTCCCCATCAGGATCAAGCCGTGGCAATTATTCTCGACATTCTCTCCTCCCCAGCCGATCTCCCCCCATCCACCACCTCCCCGAAACCAACCCCCGCCAACCTACCCTCCCACAACCCCTCCTCTCCTCTTCGCCCCACCACCCTCACCTTTGGTAACCTCTCCGCCTCCTCCCCATCCTCTCGCTCCTCTCCATCACTCCCCTCCCCCTCCTCCCCCTTGGCCTCCCCGTCCTCCCTCCCGCGCGCCCGCCTGTCGGTGTGTCGATTGCTTCTGGGGGTGCTGGTGCGCGCCTTAGCAGTGGAGGTGGCTCTGGTGCGCCTGGTGGGGCCCACCATGCTGCCGTCTGCCCTGCGGCTGGATGATTTCGACGCTGCTGTGCAGCTCATAGTGCAAGGTGAGGAGGGGCAGAGAGGGAGGTTCATAGGTTCATAGTACCAGGTGAGGTCAGGGTGCTGCTTCTGGGGTGCTGCTTCTGGGGTGCTGCTTCTGGGGTGCTGCTTCTGGGGTGCTGCTTCTGGGGTGCTGCTTCTGGGGGTGTTGCTTCTGGGGTGCTGCTTCTGGTCTGGGGTGCTGCTTCTGGGGGTGCTGCTTCTGGGGTTGCTGCTTCTGGGATTGCTGCTTCTGGGGGTGCTTGTGCGCGCGCTGGCAGTGGAGGTGGCTCTGGTGCGCCTGGTGGGGCCCACCGTGCTGCCGTCTGCCCTTCGACTAGACGACTTTGATGCTGACGTGCAGCTCATAGTGCAAGGTGAGTCAAGAGTAGGCAGTTGAGAGAGCAGCTGTATGCCCCTCACTTCTCGGGGTGTGGTGCAAGAGGAGTGTTGAGTCACCTCGCTTCTCGGGGTGGTGGTGTGCGCTCCTTTCTCCCGCTGCGCTTCCCCCCCTGCCCATGTGCTTCCACCCATGCAGCTGCAGCAAGGGAGCTGCCCATACAGTCTGACGTGCAGGCAGTGGTGGCACTGGCGGCCACAATCACCCACCTGTGTTGAGGCGTACCTCTGCCGTGCTAACCATTCCGCCCTCCGCTCTTCTCGCCCTGGCCATGTGCTCCCACCCTCGCAGCAGCAGCCAGGGGTCCACTCAGTCTGACGTCGAGGCAGTGGTGACCCCACTCACACAGCTGTCTTCAGCTGCCTTCAGCTGCCTTCAGCTGCCTTCCTCCCGCCCCTCTTCTCCCCTTGCCCATGTGTTCCTTCTGCCAACACAGCTGCAGCAAGGGAACCGTCCATTCAGTCTGACGTCGAGGCAGTGGTGGCACTGGTGGCCACACTCACGCAGCTGTCATACAACATGCCTTAAGCCCTAATGATCCATTGAGTAAACCTGGGCCACTGTTCGGCTGTTACTGACTGCATCCATGCCAGCTAAGGCTTGAACCCTTGGTTTGCTGGGTTCACAAATGTTACATAGTCCTGCCATGTCTTAGGTCAAGCTTTGCTTAACCAAGCTTTGTGTACAGGGCTACAAGGGGGGATAACACTGGAGGAAGAATCAGTGAGGTCACTTGAGACACCATCTGATATGGACACCCCGACAGCAGTTTTGCACATGGATGGTCACGGCTAAAAATACGTGCTCAGCAGGATTTGAACCTGCGCGGGCAGAGCCCAACAGATTTCTAGTCTGTCCCGATAACCACTCCGGCATGAGCACACATTTGTCCTGCGGCATAAACACCCCTCTGTGATAGTTTACTCTCTTATTTCCGCCGCCATACCGACGCTCCTAGCCGTGCTTCCCGTCACTCTCTCCCTTAATCCTGACGTCATCCGTCCCTTCACTGCATCCTTCACGCCGGAGGCGGCAGCAGCGGCAAGGCTACCTACGGCGGAGGAGGCAGGAAAGGGAGCTGTTGTACGCGCTCTCGCACGGGCTATTACCGGGGGGGGGATGTATGCACGTCTGGCAGCTGCTGCGGCAGCAGCGGAGGAGGCAGAGATAGGGGCCGCTGCGGGGAAGGCAGCCAGGGGGAGCGCCACAGGGAAACCAGCAGCAAGTGCTGCGGCAGGGAAGGCAGCAGCGGGGGCAGCGGCAGGGAAAGTAGCAATGGGTCCCGCTGTTTCGCAGGCAGCGGCTAGCAGGGCCGCGACAGCGGCGGCGGCGGCGGCGGCGGCGGCTGCGGTGGTGTCAGCAGAAAAAGGGGCAGCAGGGGGTGCCGCACCGGGGGCAGCAGCGGAAGCGGCTGCAGGGAAGGCAGCAGCAGGATCAGCAGGGCGTGCCGCGGGGGAGACAACCGCCGGGGTAGCTGCGGGGATGGCAGCAACAGGAAGGGCAGCTGGGGCGGCAGCAGGGAAGGCAGCAACAGCAGCAACATGGGCAGCGGCAAGAGGTGCTACACGGGAGAGGGCAGCTGGAGCCGCTGCAGGAAGGGCAGCAGCTGCGGCAGCTCCAGCAGGAGGTGTGGTGAGAGAGACAGCAGCCGGAGCGCTGAAGGTAAGGCAGTAACTGGGACGAGGGCTAAGGAGGCCGGTCACAGGGCAGCACCTGGGCCGGAAGAGACTGTCTCATCCCCTCCCACCCCCCCCATCTCCCCCCTCCCCCCCCCTCCTTCCCCTCCTCCCCCTACTTCCCTTGCGGTCCCCCGTCCCCCCCTTCCCCCCCCTACTCCCAATCCCACACATGCAGGGGCTTCACCAGCGGCGCAGGGCCCTCGCCGTGGGCTACAACCCAGGGCTATGGGCGGGGCGGCCCGAGCCTTGGCGTTTTTGGCGGACCCCTGTACACCCGAGCCAATGATCGGGACGCAGTCTCACCACTCCCTCTCCCCCCACACCCTCCCCTTACAGTCGAGTGTGCCCCACAAGGCGGCCGCCGAGGATGGCACGGACAATGATGGCCCGCTCGCCGGATATATCTTGGTCGACTCAACCCTTCCATGCTCTCCCTCATCAGCCCTCGCGCCGGCGCCAGGAGCACAAACAACAGTTGGGCAGGTTGCTCCCTCCCCCCCCCCACCCACGCAGGCGACCGCGCCGGACGCCTCGACTTGGGTAGCACAAGGAGGGGCGGCTCTTGCCCAACCCCCCTCGTCAGGCCGCCCCCAACCCAGTTCCACCCCAGGTGCCTCCCGCCCGGCACAGGGCACACACCCTGTCGGCCACACGAGCGCTTCCCATAGGAACGGTGTGCGGGGTGCACCCCCGGCAAGGGGGAGCAACCCGAATCAACTCCCTCTCGGCCCTCGCCGTCTCACCCTGGCTGATCCCACTTCCCAAGCCCCACAGCTAAGCTTCGGGCAAGGCGGGGGTCCCTCGGCGCCCACTCTGCTTCCCTTCCCGGCCGTGGCCCCTACCTTGCCCGCGCCCCGCCCCCCCACTCCCTCTCCCACACATCCCACCCGCCCCCTTTCCCCGGCAATCCAGCCGGAACTCCCCTCGCGCCCTTTCGTGCAGCCCCCAGGTTTCCTGTCCCGCACGGCAGGCGACCATGGGAGTGCCTCCCTCTTGGGCCCTCCCTTGTCACTTCCGTCTCACACACCCTCCAGCCCAGCGCTGGGGCACCCAACCTTCCCACCTCCTCCCTTGAGCGTCCCACCCACGCTTAACCCTTACCCTACTGCCCAACAACCTCTCTTGCCCTGCCCCCCCACTCCCGCCCGGCCCATCAACGCGAACAGGGGCGAGGCGAGGGCGCCCCCCCCATCTCACCCTCCCCCATCTCACCCTGCCCCACACACTCCTTGCCTGTCAGTATTTAGGTGGTCGCAGCGAGCCACCCATCCGCGATGGACGTCGACAAAATGGGAGTAGGGGACCTGCATGATGTCTCCTCCCAACCCTACATCCCCCCTTACCGTCGCTCAGCACAGGCAGCGATGTCGGCAGACGCCCAGGGGGAAGGGGACGAGGAAGGTGTCGGGGGAGGGCGGGGCATCGCGGATGGTGCTGCCGATTCCACCACCGCCACCACCCCTCTCTTTCCCCCCCTGTCCCCATCTGCACCCGCCCCAAGGCAGGCCGCCATCCATGCGCAGGCTAGCCCATCGTGGCAGGCGGCCATTGGCGGCCACACCCCCTCACCCTCCCAGCTGCCCCATTCTCACACTCCTCACCCACAGCAGGGGGCGGTCACACGGCAGCCACTGATTGGACAGTTTGCCCAACCCCACACAGGTTGCCGGAAGAAGGGCAAGGGCAAGGGGACACCCGGGGCAGCCCGGCGCTCGGAGCAGCCGGATACGACTCCACCCTCTGCTGGCGTGCAGCCCTTACCATCCACCAACCCTCAGGCGACCCCATCATTGCCCCCGGCCCGCCACCCACTGCCCTCCCATAACCAGGATGGCGAGCTTCGGACGGTCTCCCTCCCTCACCCCACCCAGGCCCCACTCCCCTGTCACCCCCCCATCCCGCCCTTGGCCCCCCACCAGACGGTTGCCGCCGATGCCCCATCCGCGATGGAAATCGAACCGGAGGCGGAAGAGGTGTCGTTAGCCTCTCGCAAGCAAGCCTATATCCCCCCCCAGCGTCGGTCCCCACCACCCGCTTCTTTGTCCCCCTCCGGTCCACAACCTCCGACCCAGGTCAGGGCCCACGATGGTTCGCCCACCACGACCAACCAGCCTGCCCTGCTCCCCCTACCCACAGGCGGACAGTCGCAGGGGGCAGATGGGGAGACGGAGGCGGCAGTTGCCGACCTTCTCAGGATATGGGACACGTCCGCCACCCCCTCTGCGCCCGCTTGTCCGGGTCGGGTGGGGGGGGGCACCGTGGACCCTAATCCAGACATCTCCCATGCCCCCCCTTCCCCCCCGTCCACCGCCCTCACACCGGAGCGCATGGTGATCGATGACTCCGACGCGGCCCCCGACCACCCCCTCTGCCCAGATGCGTCCACTGCTCTAGCTGCCCACACCCCAGCTCCTACGTCCCCCGGCGAGGCCACTGAGCTAGCCTGCCATCCAGACGCATGCCCCGCCCTGGTCACTGTCCCCCTGGTCGTGCCATCCTCACCCACGCCCGCGCATCCCGCCGTCGCTCCTCCCCCCCGGCCATTGCCTTGCCTGCCCCAGACGCACGGCCCGCCCCCCACTTGGGCCACCGACCTCGGACAGGGGCCCATCGAAGAGGCGGTCGTCGGCGCTGACAGCTCGGAGAGCACGATGCCAGTCCCCCCGCACGACACAGCGGTGCCGACAGGAGGACTAGCGGTCACGTGTCCTACCTGTCGGAGCACCTTGGTGAGCAGCCACGCTCTTGCTCTCCATGCACCCCATTGCCAGCCCGCCGATGCTCTACGCAGGGCTGAGGCCCTTCAGGATGCCACCTCTTCCCCTCCCTCATTCAGCGAGCCACGCGCCTCCGTCGTCACATTCTCGGACGCCCAGTGGTCGTCCTTGGATGCGGTCGATTGGACGGATTATTTCTCACCGAGACGCATGCATGCTCGCCCGCTCCGGCGTATCCCGCCGAGGGTTCGCGGGGGGTACGTGGATGTCCTCTGCGCGATCTTGCAGCGCATCAGCCAGCACCCCAGGGCGGGCGGACCGACGTTTCTGTTGTTGGCCATCCCGACCCTCCTCCTCACGCCCGCTACACCACCCGCACGATCACATACGGCGGCCATCACTGCGCGCATTGCGCGCTTCCTTGGTGGAGATTGGGACGCCCTCATAGCAGAGGCACTTCACCGCCGCACACCCCTCGCGGCATGCACGACACGCCGCGCCCGCGCCGCGACTCCGACGCCTGACGAGCGCCGCATTGCGCGTTGCCTCCGCCTGGCAGCGTGCAATGAGGCGTCACGTGCTTGTGCGGCCTTGGAGTCGGCAGAGGCGGCCCCGGACGGAGATCAGACGGTGCACCGCCTACGGGCGAAGCACCCTTGCGCGAAGCGCCCCATCCCAGCATGGGTGGCCTCCTTCCGGGACGCAGCCCTGGTCCTGAGCATTGAGCATCTGCGCAGGGCCATTTTCACCGCTCCGAGAGGCTCTTCGGGAGGACCTCCGGGATGGGTGGCCGAGCACTTCCGCGACACCTTCTTGGCCTTCCCGAAGGCCCTCCCTACCTTGCTTGCTGTCTACCAGCAGTGGCTCCGGGGCGACTGCGCCCCGGCCGCACTTCCCATGCTGGCATCATCCACCCTCGTCGCGCTCTCCAAGCCGAACATGGACGTTCGGCCTATAGCCATAGGCGAGGTCCTTGCGCGCCTACTCCAGCGGGCGGCATGCCTGCAGTTGCGCGAGCCGATGGCTCGAGTCTTTCTACCATCACAACAGTTCGGGGTCGGGGTGACCTGCGGTACTGAGCTGGTCGTTAGGGGCGTCCGTCGCGGCAGGGCGGACCACCCGGACTGGGTGGTCGTCGAGCTCGACGTGGCGAACGCCTTTAACTCGTATCACCGCGATCGCTTGTTCGAGGCACTGCGAGCGAGCTCCGAGTTTCGCTGCCTCATCCCTTTCGTTGCCCTTTTCTACGGCACGGCATCCTCGCTGTTCTTTCGGACCGGGCGAGGAGTCACCACCATCCGCTCAGAGCGAGGATCTCGTCAGGGCGACCCTCTGAGCCCATTTCTCTTTGCCCTGACACAGAGGCTGGCACTGGAGCCAGTGCTGGCGGACGAGGACGTGCAGCTGTGGTCATACGCGGATGACACGTACGTCCTGGGCACACCAGAGAGGGTGTTGCAGAGCTTCACTGCCATTCAGAGGCGCTTGGGCGAGCTGGGCCTCTCGGTCCAGCCGCACAAG